CATCGACTCTGTAACTTCTGCATCGATGCATGAATTATCAAGGAGCACATGACGATGTATTACCATATCATTGTTTTTAGCACAGCCCTTATTTCTTCTAAATCAAATCTTTGAAGCTGAAATTCTTAGTTGGTTATGTTTTATGGAGTCATATTTCCTGAAGTCCTTGCGTCGTTGCCCTGGTTCCTCCAGCAATGATTCCTGTTCTTATCTCTACTTGAAGTATGCCTCACCCTCGGCCTTTCGGTTGCCCCGGCCACCAGAGGACAATGAGTCCAGGAGAACTCGTTCATCTGGGATCAATTAACCCAGTTAGGCTTGCTCGGCTGAGCGCCCTCCACATAATGATAGGCTTTCACCCAGAGATGCCTTTGCTCTGGATGGGTCTATTTGTTTTCCTCCTCAAGTCTGAAGCAGAACTCAAGGGGTGCATCTGGGAAGCTCTATTTCTGCGCTCTTGTTTTTTGGGTCTTTGGAGTTTCCTTTGCGTTTCAACTCGTAATTTAAACTTAGGGTTGGCTATCACGAATGTGCCTGGGAATGCGACGCAGAACGGCATCTTGGGAAGAACGGCGGTCTGCATTTGATGTCGGAAACCCCAAATCGCTCCCCACATGTATCCTCTCTCCATTTGGCCTCTGTTGTTTCCCTCTGTTTGTGTTCATTCCTAACCGACATATAGGACTAAAGTGGATCCGTGAAGGTATTTCAAGGCGAGTCAACCAGTTCAAGCTTTCAACGTGAAGAGTACAGTTTGGTACTGAAATGGTTAAAGCCTCTTAAGCCAAGATTGGAATCAGTTTGAATCATGCTATCTAAAAAAGACCCAGTACTGCTGAGGACTCTGAGACCAGAACTCAAAGTCCAGTACAAACGTTTAACTCCCAAACTGGGACACGCCCCTTTCTTTTCGCCCATGCTCCCCCAAAGTTCTCCATCATGTCTTTCCCAGCTCAGTAAAGCCGCCTCTCCCAAGCACTGATGAGTTGATAAGCTTCAATCAGGCATTTCAGGCGTACCCTCTGAAGGAGCGCCCTCTTGGATTGCAGTTCTGCAGAACTTAACGGCCACCTTGTCACAGGAAGTCTACCCCGGCTTTGACCTCTCATAAAGAGGGTTCATTTCACACCGCTTGGTTCAGGTATGAAGAAATAAACAAAGGTGCACAGCTTCTCCACAAAAGACGACTTGAAATCTTTAAATAATGCCAGGCAGTTTGAAGTGATGAATCTCAGACTCTGACTTTAGACAGGCCGCTGTTGGTCAGCTCGTTGGAGGCAGATAGTCCGTTATCTGACGTTTTTCAGAACGGGCACAAGTGTAAAGCATAAAAGTACTTTAGTTATCTTCTGAGCTCGATTAGAAGCTCAGGGAAGGTGATCATTGACCCCTATAAAACAGCGACCAGTGAACTAGTGAGCTTTACAGTTTACACAAGAAGGTGTGTGTGTGTGTGTGTGTGTGTGTGTGTGTGTGTGTGTGTGTGTGTGTGTGTGTGTGTGTGTGTGTGTGTGTGTGTGTGTGTGTGTGTGTGTGTGTGTGTGTGTGTGTGTGTGTGTGTGTGTGTGTGTGTGTGTGTGTGTGTGGCTAAAAATAGCACGCTTAGCTCCTGTTTTCATTCACGGGTGATGGTGTCTACAAGGTGCCAAGTGTCATAATGATTCATCACAGCATCGTTGTGTCTATCTCTTTGTGTGTGTGTGTGTGTGTGTGTGTGTGTGTGTGTGTGCATCTGTATGTTTTCTAAACACTTGAGTCCACCAGGCCACAGGGGCTGTGTTCCAAGAAGTGCGAACCTGGTTCCAGAGTCGGTTTAATCCTGACATGCTTGGAAATGTAGTCAATCTGGATATCTGAGAATCAGAACAGTCTCTTGTACCTTTTTTGCTTTGCTGTGTAAATAAAACCGTCGCTCTGGGCGTAAAAAGAGAACTACCACTGTTGTGACAATAATTATTATACAATATATAACAAAGAGTACCCCCCCCCCCCCCCCCCCCCCCACAGATTTTACTGAACTCTACTGTTGCAATAATGAGCCTCAAACCAACAGCCTGTTGACCATTTGAAAGGACTGACCAGAAACCAGTCTATCAACTTGATCAGGGTCGAGTGCAGCTCTCTTCTATTTCCAATATAACCTGCTGATGAGAACAGATCGCGTTCAGAGCGCACACATGTTCCTGGAGCACAAATATTAGCGTGCCAGCTTGGAGAGTTGCAGGCTTGTAGTGACCTGTGTCTCTCCACCAATCAGTGAGCTGCAGTCTGCAGAGAGACGAGTCTCCCTTGTGTCAGTTTGCATCTCCTGAATCCCGCCCCTAAAACATTACTGTCTTCATTTACTGAGGTCAAGAGGTCATGAAATGATCATGTCACGCTTAGAGCGCCCTCTGCTGGATCAAACTGAAAACTGCTTCAGGTGGCCTGATGAGCTGACAGACTGAATATTTTGAATTCAAACTGCTCATTACAGTTCGAATGTGAACTTTTTCCCCCAGCTTCGAAAAAAATGTTCAAACTTGAACTCGAATAACAAATGACAGCTGGAGATGACACACTGCAAAGGGCTGGGCTTAGATAATCGAAATCGCAGCACAGCCTCCGGTAATCATCGTTTGCACAACATGTCTGTACTTTTGTCTCTTCTCTTGTAGCCGATTTTTCTCATTCAGTCTGGACCTGATTTATGCCTAACGTTCAGCTTTGTCTCATCATCTTCTCCTCTGCATCCCAGAAAAACACAGTTAACAAAATAAATACCTCGATTATTCTCAGGTTACATTAATGATGACATCATTAAACCATTAAATCATTAGACCAGAGCACCGACTACACCGAGACAAAAGGAAGCAAGCTGGTGAGCGGAATTATTTTCAAAAGATGAGACAGCTTTGAATTTCCCAGAAAGACTATTCTCTCTAAAAACCAAATTGCAGATTTGTTCTGCTGTGCGCTGCTTTCTGTAGAACTAAATGTAGTTGAGCACGCTCTTCAGGCCCTCTCACGAGCAGAGAGACCCTCAGGGAGTTAGAAAGTGTAGCACTTTGCATTTAGGAATGAAGCTACAGCGCTGTGCTTTCCAGTCCCTGTGTCCCTCTTCACTGTGGGCTCCTCCAGACGAGCGGGATGCAAAGAGGATTGGAGATGCATTGGTCTAACATGTAGAACACCTGGCTGCTGATTCAGAGAGGAGGTTTTTTATTGGGAACAGGAAGTCACCTGTTGGACAAACTCTGATCCATGTTTTTGGTCAAACACTGTGGGAATCTTTGGTACATTGGTATCAGTATTGGAAATTGTATAAAGTTATTTTAAACATCGGTTTGAACCCTGATTTTCACAATGGATGCTTCTCTATAAAAATATAGTGGGTGCAAAATAATGTAATAGATCAGATTTTCAGGGCTGAATTAAAAAACGTGCTTAACCCTAAGTCAGACTTTTGTACAAATGTTCTGACTGTATAAACATGGACGTAGCGTCAGTGACATCACACATTGGTTTTTGAAGAAGTGTTTCGAAGCTTAACGATGGCGGTCGCCATATCAAAAACGATTCCAACTTTCTGTCAATCTAGTAACAGACAAAGAGGTGGAGCTGGGGCGGGGCTTCAGCCTCGTGCCAAACAGCTACACCACGCCCACCTGTCAGTCAAACCACACCCCTAACTATGCAACTCTATGTCTGAACGGCCTTTCAGATAGGATGCGTCATGCTGATTGCAGCCCAAGGTTACGCTCATCTGTGCACTCTCTTCCTGCTCTGCACTCGACCCCGTGAATGTGTCTGTAGATGTTGTAATAAGTCATGAAGCTGCAGTAATGTCATCTGCTATTGGCCCACCGTCTGATCAGTCTGTAATTACAGTCATCAGAGGAAGAAGCAGTTGCAGTGTAGATCAATCTTGGCTGCAAAGATAACCTGGCAGCGTCCGTCTGTGGACGTTCAGTTCATGTTTGTCAAATCCAACAGAAGCAAACCAGAAAGTCCCATGCTGCTGAAATCTCTGTTTAGTCCTCGATTGAGCCCTGGACTCGGATTCAGACTCCTTTCTGTGATGTTGTGTCCGACCAAGAGGAAGTCATTAGTGCCTCCGTTCATTTTCCCCGCCCAGGAGTGTTTTGCTGAGGCAGAGCTGGTGTCTGGGTGGGGACCAGAACTTAGGGCTTCCTGTCTCTTGTCCTGCTGACTGGACTTATTTTTCTGTGTGTTTAAGAGTAATGTGTGTGTTTGTGTGTGTGTGTGTGTGTGTGTGTGTGTGTGTGTGTGTGTGTGTGTGCGCGCGCGTATGTGGGGGGGCTGTTATGCTGGGGTCATAGCAGAGGTTGAAGCTTGACCGGTTTGGAGACAAAGAGAAGTTATTGGGCAGAGTGTGAGGGTGTGTGAATGTCTCTATAATGTACATTTGTGCTCCTCTGTGTTCTCCCACACTGACCTGTTGGCTGACCTCAGACTCCGGACTGTCCAGAGGTCTCTTGGGCCGTTGTCATTTTAAAAAAGCATGCAGAGCCCGTCAGCAGTAGGGATGTTCAAACCAGTGAGATGTGTAGTGAGTGAAATGATAAAGTGACTTTACTATATGATCAGACATTAAGGAAACATGCTATGTTGAAGTGCTGGCTTCTCTGACAACAATGCAGCAGCCAGTATGTCCTCCTTCTAACTTTAGATTCTGGTCCTGAATGCTCTGGATTTGTTTGGACCAGAGAAGGTAGGCGGTTTTAAGGCATCCCCACACGGCCGTTTTGGACGCCCCTCGATTTGCCTACAACGGCACAAAATGCACCATTAAAATCGCAGATATTGATGCGGTCCTTTAAACAATCCCTCTCTATCCGTCTTCCTTACTCGACTCGATATAAAGCCTCATGTCTCTTTCTGACTCATTCATTCGTCTAAGTCATTGAACTACACCTTCAGAGAAATCTAAAGTTACACACTGTCCTCTTTCGTGCACTGAAAGCTCAGCTCACACTCTTGCTGCGTTGTTTTTTCAGATGTATGGCCGCTACACCCAGGAGCTCGGGGTGTACGCCAAAGAGGAGGCGGCGCGGCTGAGGGAGAGCGGGCAGAGGCGATCGGTCAGCGAGCGGAGCCGGACTCTGGACCTTCTGGAGTACGACAAGGGACGCTGTGCCAAGTGTCGAAGTAAGTGTCACACAAGAAAGGACTAAGATGGATTCAAAAGACGAAACTCTGACTCTTCTGACTTTCTCTGTTTCTTCTCTGCATATGTGACACAGTGGATGTTACCCAGAATGCATTAGTAAGATGTTCCTTTCTGAAACACAGGAAGGTCAGGAGCAGCATCTCATGCCGTGTCATGTATCATATTGTGTTCCTGTAGTTTGAGCACTAATAAAGGGGCGGAGACTTCAGAGTCAAACACTCCAAAGCTTCCATCTTTAAAGAAGGTTTGAAGGGCGCCGATAGCCTGCCGGTTGTGACGCGTGCCCCGTGTGTAGAGGCTGTGGTCGTTGTCACAACGGCCGTGTGCTGGGGTCCGACCTCGGCCCTTTGCTGCACGTAAAAGGTTGAAGAAAATGTTCCATACTTTGATACTTTTCAATGCCACATGTTTTAAAGTGATCCAGTCTCCTTTATTTGAACGATCACTGGAATCAAAGAACACAAACTTCCGATCTTCAGCAGTCTGCAGCAGTAAGCTTAAAGTCCATCTCTGCTCCGACACTGACTTCCTGTCCACTCCGCTCTCTGGAGGCCTTGATGCTTTACAGTCAGATTAAAAAAAAGTACAGAAGAGGATCTCTCGACAATCATCGCATCGACAATCATCACATCGACAATCATTTGTTCTGAATCTGTAGACGCCGACATGTAAATGAAAACCACATCACCATGCATGAGTGGATCCATGTGATCCCCTCGCATTTCTCCTCCTGGTGCTGCTGTGGAAACTAATGATTAAAAGTGTGTGTGTGTGTGTGTGTGTGTGTGTGTGTGTGTGTGTGTGTGTGTGTGTGTGTGTGTGTGTGTGTGTGTGTGTGTGTGTGTGTGTGTGTGTGTGTGTGTGTGTGTGTGTGTGTGTGCAGCAGCTGATAATGAGATTAGATAGAACCGTATGTGGGACCCATAACAGGATATAAAAGGCTGTAAACACAAGTGTGGAATGTCATTCAGATGCATGTGGAAGGGGAAAAGACCACACACACACACACACACACACACACACACACACACACACACACACACACACACACACACACACCTAGAGTTGCAGGTGTGTTTTGGATCGAGTGTTATTTGACTTTGTGACCTGTCAGACCAGCCACACTATCTCCCTTTGTCTCTTTCTGTCTCTCACACTCCTTTCTTACTCCGATCAGATCTTTTTCTCACAGCATGCACCTTGTTTCATATCAGCTGATCCCTCTGGCGGGGCAGCAGCTCAGTCTGTGCGGACTTGGTCTGAGAGCCGTTGTCTCGGTGTGGACCAAAGTATGGAGGTTGATCTGTCCATTAGTGCGTGTTCACAGATCCTGTTTGTGCATGTGTGTGTGTTTCACGCCTCCAGTGTGTGTGAGAAACAAGTCTCTCATCACAGAGTGAAAATAAAACAATATATATATGCATTTCCTTTGTTGGCGAAAGTCACCTGTTGTCCTCTAGGCGCTGTGTTTACAGGTGATGCTACAGAGTATACTGCAGATGTGAATAAAAGCTGCTTCATATAAAGATTAATTTGGATTTAAATGAAATATAAAAAAAAGTTAAATGATTGACGAAAACGACTCCATTATTAAACTTTAAAGCTTTCCTTCTCCGCCTGTTTCACACATGAACAAGAAGAACGTAAGAGATGAGTTGTTTAGAGAGAGAGACGAATATTTATTGAGGCTCGAGCTCATGCAGAACATTTCGGGATGGATCCTCGATGTGGCAAAAAGATAATTTGTGACTGAAGGGAGGAGCTGCGAAACAACGAGGACATCAGTAATTACTAAAAGAGAACGAGTAGAGTCAAGAATGTCTCTGGGTAAAGTTTATGCATGAATCAAATCAGTGCTGAAGAACTGCTGAGCATGTCAGGAACATCCTCCATGTGCAGCTTCCTGTTCAGTGTAAAAGGAGCGCCCTCTGCTGTTTACAAGGTCTCAGTGCACGCAGAGTTATTCTCTTATAGATATTCTTGCTGCAGACCTGCGAGTGAGCGTGTGTGTGTGCGCGTGTGTGTGTGTGTGTGTGTATGTGTGTGTGTGTGTGTGTTTGTGTGTGTGTGTGAGCGTGTATGTGTGTGTGTGTATGTGTGTGTGTGTGTGTGTGTGTTTGTGTGTGTGTGTGAGCGTGTATGTGTGTGTGTGTCCTCGGCTCTCATCTCAGTGATGAGTTTTGCTGTTGTTTCTCTGCCGGCTGATGAGTCAGCTGTCAATCTGCCTCTTCCTCCTGTTTTCATCCTCTTTGGAAGGATCAAGACACGGACATGCCGCCAATTGAATTGATCCGTCCCTCAGCAGGTTGCTGCAGGAGACCTAATCTGGATCGCTTTGCAGAAACACACACACACACACACACATTTTTCACAAGGCAAATATTAACACACAGGCTAAGGTAAAGGCGTAAAATAAAGAGTCAACAGGCTGAAAATATATGTACATATAAAGTGACACAGTGCTGTGGATAATGAGTGCAGCTGCTGAGGGAGACAGGGAGCTACTCTCACTGACACACTCACATACACACACACACACACACACACACACACACACACACACACACACACACACACACACACACACACACACACACACACACACACACACACACACACACACACAGTGCTCTCCTGCTAGGATCGGCACTATCTCTCTCTCTATTACTGCTCCCTCGTGCTGTTTCTTTTTTTTTTTTCTTTTTTTTTTATATATATTTTATTCATTTTTTAAACATAACAAGCACAGAACAAGACAGCACAGATGTAACCAAATTACTGAATATATATATATATTTTTTTTTTTTAAATATATATATTCAAAAAAATAATAATAATAATAATAATAATAATAATAACATACATGGGTTGTAATAACATATATCATATCAGATACAATCTTATCTACCTAAATTACATGTCAAAGGGAAAAAACATGACTATGATGTATTTTTGAAGATAAAGTGTGGGCACCCTTTCTGCAATAAGCCAACCAGATCAGTGGGAAGATAATCTATGAAGGGTTGCCAAATATTATAAAATAAGTTGTTATTGCCCTTTAATTTAGCACTGAGGTGTTCCATAGGAAGAACCTTAAATGTTTCTCTGTACCACTGCGTAACTGATGGAGGCTTCTCCTGAATCCACTGAAACAGAATACATCTCCTCGCTAGGAGCAGAAGTTTACCCATTAGAACGAGCTGTCCTGTTGATAGAGAAAACTGTTGCGTAGGTAAGTTCAGGAGAAACAATGCTGGCTCTAGTTTTATTGTTCTGTGAAAAATTAAGCCAAGCTCCTGGGCAACATTTTTCCAATACCTGGATATTAAGGGACATTGCCATACACAGTGATAATAAGTTCCTACTACTTTTTTACACTTCACACAGAGGGCGGAGATCTGAGGACTAATTTTGTTTAAAAATTGTGGTGTTCGCTGAAGTCTATGTAATATTCTGTATTGGCTCTCTTTGAGTCGATTACATGTAAAGATTTTCCTAGCTGAAACAAAGGTACCTGACCACGCCTCTGCACTAAGTTCAACCTCCAAGTCCCTTTCCCATAATTCCCTAGTTCTCTCAACCCTATCACAATTAATAGGATGTAATTTGTCATAAAAAAGGGAAATTATTTTTCTGTCGTTGAGCGCATTTAAACTAAAATTGAGAAGAAAACTTTCAATTGAGCTCAACAATGATTGATCAGTGGGGAAAATCAGATCTGATTTGACAAAGTGTCTAACTTGGAGAAAACCAAAGAAGTGACTATTTGGTATTCTGTATTTGGTCTTGAGTTGATTGAATGACATAAAATCACCATTTTGAAATAAATCAGCCACAAATCTTAGACCCTTTGAATACCAGTCATTGAAAATACTTTTCCCTATACCTGGAGAGAAGGCTTTATTTTGAGTCAGAGGTTGTAATGCTGATGAAAAACCTCTCCGGCCAATGTGTTTAGTAATATCTCTCCAGATTCTAAGTGTGCTAAACATGACAGCGTTGTTTTTAACATCTGCTGGCAGTTCGCCAGCATCAGTTGAGAGGAGACTGAAAGGAGAGAGAGGGGAACAGCACCATGAATCTGTTAGAGGCTCCCCTTGATGTATAAAATGGTTTAGCCAGCGTGATATTATCCTGCCGTGGCAGGCCCAATTGTAATATAGAAAGTTAGGAAGTGCTTGACCCCCCTGTCTATTGGCAACTGTAAGGTCTTCATCTTTAGCCTAGATTTCTTGCCATGCCATATAAATTTTGAAAGAGATCTTTCGATATCCAAAATAACTCTTCTATTGATCTTAAGTGGCAGCATTTGCATTGGGTACAACATCCTGGGAAGTACATTCATCTTAACCAAGCTTATTCTACCCATCCATGACAGAGGAAGATCAAACCATCTGTGAGTCATTTTTAACTGCTTTCAAAGTTGGAATAAAATTGAGTTTATACAATTCTTTTATGTCTGCTGATACTCTAATCCCCAGATAGGTAAAGCCTGAAATTGACCACCTGAACGGAAAATTAACAAGGGTATCCGGGACACCAAAGTCTCCGAGAGGCAAGGCCTCTGATTTGTCATAATTAATTTTGTAACCTGAAATTTGGCCAAATTCACTTATAATCGATTCCAATACCGGTATGGAGCTCTCTGGATTAGTAATAAACAACAATATATCATCAGCATAAAGCGAGATCCTGTATTCTGTGTCTCCCAATGTGACACCAGAAAAAAAACGGTGGGTTCTAATGGCCTCTGCGAGAGGCTCAAGCGCAAGTGCGAATAAAAGCGGCGAAAGGGGACAGCCCTGGCGTGTGCCTCTATTCAGAGGGAACATCTCAGACACTGAACCATTTACCAGAACTCTTGCAGACGGAGATCTATATAGGAGCTTAACCCATGTAGTAAAACCAGAACCTAAACCAAACCTGTTAAGAACATCAAATAGATACTCCCACTCCACCCGATCAAAAGCTTTTTCTG